TGGGGGACAATCCAGTCATCATGGTCGTCGATTTCAGACTGGGGGTACAGGAAACTAAGTACAGAGTATATATATAACGATACAGGAGTGGAGTCAGAGAACAAAGGGGACTGGAAGGAGGACAAAGGGGGACTGGATGAGGGAACAACCCCAAGGGTCAAGGGTTGGAACTCTATGGTGCTTCCCAAAAGGGCAAGGCCAAGAGGGGAAGGAGTGGAGGGGGTTGTGGGGAATGACAGCTGACTAATATGGAAAGGAAGCAGCTGTCTAAATAAGGAAGAGGCAACAAGGGAATTAAATGACACCATACAGTAGAGACTGCAGGGTCTGGAGTAAGTTCTGGAGGTCCGGAGTCGGAAATCTAAGTCCGGAATATTGGCAAGATGTAATAAATGAAATGTAATAAGGAATACAAGGAGATAAGATGGAGGAGGGTCAAAGTCCGGAGGCAGAGATGTGACCGGAGTTCTGGAGGTGGAGGTGCAATGGGGTTCTGGTACAGGAGTCCAGAGTCGGAGGTGTGGAGCATCGCAAACTCTGGTCTGGAAGGTACGAGGTTGGGATCGGACCCAGAGTAAACCGGAGTCGGACCAGAGGTAGTGTTGGACATTGTGTTGGAGCCAGAGGTAGAGTGGGCTCTCAACAACCAACAGGGGGAGGAGGTGGAGGAGGATGTGGAGTTCTGGAGGAGGAGATGGAGGTCCAGAAACAGGAGTGGAGGTCCAGAGTTGTATGGATATGACAGCCTCCACAAAATACAGCAGATATCGAGATACAGTGGTTGTAAGGGATTAACCTTACTTCACTATAATTCCGATTATAGTGATATCATTATGTTGCATTGCTATAATTCCCATTATAGTGATGCTATTATTTCTTTACTTATTTGTGCTGAGATATGTAATTTACATATATATACCTTGGAGTAGTTGTAAAGGCCCGGTATGTCATATCCCGGATCTTCCACCTCCCTCCACTCTATTCCTATATGACTCCTATGACCTCCACCAGCCCTCCCAACCTCTCTCTGCTGCCAACAGCCCTAGGACTACCTCCTCCTTTGACTCTCTCCCGCTCTGCCTCCCATCTACGTCTGCATCACCTCTGGACCTCCACCACCATACCACCACCTCCTCGGACCCCTTGTTCAAAGGAGATGGACCTGCTCATTGTTGATAAACCTCAACTTGCCTATCCACCCTCCTTCCTACCTCTGGTCTCTGCACCTCTGGTACCTCCCCACTCCTACCTTACCTCTGGTCTTGATAATCTTTATTGTTTTATCATTTGATATTTTCTACAACCCCAATCTTCCGGACTACAACTTCCGGGCTCCGGACCTTTCTGGACATCTTTCTCTGTAGTCCCCTGCTTATTCTTAGACAGTTCCAGACCTTGCCATTCAGTTGGATTTCAATTCTCTCACTCCACAAACCTCAGACGTAATTCAGGCTTTTCGCCTATTCTTTATTTGTCCTGTGGATTCTTTTCTATTTACTTCCCCTTCCCCTTGGTAACCTTTGTTTACCATCGGATCCAATTGTTTCTGCTATATGTACGTGCATACCCCTCTAGTAAATAGTTCCCCCCAGTTATAATATAAACAGTCTTGAGTCCTCCAAACCCTCCTCCAGGATGTCTATCGTGTCCCACTTGTCTGCTGCTCTACCCTAGAACCAAGAACTGAGTAACAGGCACATCTAGAGATGCCTTGGTATAAAACCCAAACAAATCGTGTGATGAACGATTGACCCTCACTAATGCCTCCATTGTTAAGTAGTGAGGGGGGGGCTTCCAGCCCCCTTCTGCTGGCGGCCTTGGTTCCTCCATCACCAGCTCCCCTGACAAATTGGGGACAATGAGAACGTACCGGGCGCAGCACTCCATTCCAAGTTGCTGAAGCCAAGTCCCTTCAACACCCCATCACCCTCGGAGCTCCGCCCCACCTCTGGTCTGTCTCCGACCCACTGTTGGACGACCCAGGACACTGAGCTCCACCTGACAGCGTCACCTGGATAGCAATCAGACCTATCCAAGGAACGTCTTCTTGACACGGTAGCCTTTTACCTCTACCCTGTTGAATATACAGCACATTAAAGCTTATATTTAGATGGACTATCTGAGGCTGGAGGCAAACGGGGGAATGGAATGTTACTGTCCCCAAAATAGTAGCCTGAAGCAACAAGGCTTCATGTACATCAGCAAGCACTGTTGGAATGCTTGCTGGGGTGTTTTCAGGAGTGGGTGTGGGATGATGGTCATCATTCCAGTGGGCACACTTGTCTTTGTTGAGAACATGATAGTTGACACACAGTCGCTGTTTCAGAATGAATCAAAGCAGGTGAGGAAAACTTGATGATTTCCAGAACTTTTCATGCATGCTAGAACACATGGCACAGCTTAGGACACGGTCTGATCATGGCCAGTGTGAAGGGTAGGATCAATCGTTGTGGTTGGGAATGGGTATGGCTGTGCGGTGCTAACTCTACTGTATTGAAAAATAAAAATACGAGAAATTTGATCATTTTTGGGTGATTTTTTTATGAACAGGGTCAATACCCATTCATTTTGATCAGACAGAAATTTTAGAAAAGGCTGTATGCCGAAAACACATTCAGGTGTATCTGTCAGGGTGTGGGAAAACATTACCGTGACTCGCCATCGGCGACCATTAAGGTCCGCTACTCCGGCGTAACAGCCCGTTAAGGGCGGGGATGACAATCACAGCGAAGCAGGGTTTCGGCTTCAACGACTCGTTCGTGAGCATTGCACCTCATACTTGATGTGGCCCCGATATTTCAGAGGACAGAGAGTGCGACTGGGTCAGACAGAGAACACAGGGGGTAACCCTAGTTGATTTTCGAACTAAAGTACGAGGTAGTGTACAACCGGTATTTAAGCATAACGGAATGAATAGGAATAAGTCGCCAGATCTCACAGAGATTGTGGGCAGCCTTAAGAAAGGAACGAAAACAAACAAAGAGCATGGGAGAAGGATGGCCATGCATGGCCATCAAGAAAACAAGCGTAATAAAGAATGACTCATAGGCCCGTGACAGGCCTTGGAACAGGTAGCAGTGACAGGGAGGGATGACGGGCTTGTCCAGGCGGCGTCGGGCAGGCAGCGGAGTTGATGGGGTCGAAGCAGAGGAGGGAGAAGGTGTGGGGAGTGGTCACCTGACTGTGGGAATTGCCGGGTCGTGACAGTATCATTCTAAATGTGCACCAATGATCATGTCACCAGAAGTCGTTCGGGATCGCAGAATTGACTGACGCAGAATGAGGAATTCAACTGTAGGTCAGATGCCCCTAGAACTTCCTTTTTTGGCACAATATTTCCACAGGTGTGTCACTTCAAATCAGCAACCCTCGAATGCTGGATTAGGAAGGTGAAATTCAGGGTTTTGAGTTGAGGGTCCTCCAATTCAAAAATCTGAATTGATATCCCTCTCCTGATGAAGTTTGTTACCATGTGCACATTTTTCAGCAGAAGAGGGCAAGTTCTGCTCCTATGATATTACTGCCATTTTCCATTTAATAGTCCACGTGATGAATTTTGGTTCCGCACTCGCTCATTGCACGAAGGCAAGCCTGGCAAAGAACAGCTCATATCTCTGCAACCAGATGAGCTAGGGACTTGCGGTTTCTTTTAAAATGCATGTATTTTACTCCTACAGATCACCAATAATCCTAATTCTTGTTTTTTATAAATTCACATTTGTCACAATCCCCCCCATTTTTCTCAACAATGGCTGGATGGAAAGAGATGAAAATTGGGCAGCAGGTAGTTCTTGTAAATATCTCGAACCCATTTTTTTTTCTAATTGATAGGACTTTTTTCGTTTCTTAATAAGGTTATGTGCCATTCTGGTGACTCACACAGTCCCCCCCACTTTCCTCAACTACTGAGTGAAACAGGATAAAAGTCGTGCAGTGAGTAGTTCTTCCATATGTCTCAAACCCATTTTTTTTTCTAATTGATAAGAATTTTTTTCGTTTTTTAATTAGGGTGGGTGTTCAAGACCATGCTCAATGTAGCTTGACACTGTCCCCCCTGATTTCCTCAACAACGGGAGGGTGCAGCGCAGTGAAAGTCAGACAGTAAGTTCTTCTGGTATTTATCTCAACCCCCTTTTTTTTTTTCTAATCAATACGATTTTTTTCGTTTTTTAATTGGGTTCTGTCTTCATCGCAGGCTCACCTCAGGTTTGATGGCTTTCCCTCAACAATGGATGGTGGAATGGGATGAAAGTTAAAAAACGAAAAAAATCGTATCGATTAGGAAAAAAAAGGGGTTTGAGATAAATACCAGAAGAACTTACTGTCTGACTTTCACTGCACTGCACCCTCCCGTTGTCGAGGAAATCAGGGGGGACGGTGTCAAGCTGCATTGAGCATGGTTTTGAACACCCACCCTAATTAAAAAACGAAAAAAATTCTTATCAATTAGAAAAAAAAAGGGTTTGAGACATATGGAAGAACTACTCACTGCACGACTTTTATCCCGTTTCACTCAGTAGTTGAGGAAAGTGGGGGGGACTGTGTGAGTCACCGGAATGGCACATAACCTTATTAAGAAACGAAAAAAGTCCTATCAATTAGAAAAAAAAATGGGTTTGAGATATTTACAAGAACTACCTACTGCCCAATTTTCATCTCCTTCCATCCAGCCATTGTTGAGAAAAATGGGGGGGATTGTGACAAATGTGAATTTATAAAAAACGAGAATTAGGATTATTGGTGGTTAATTGATCTGTAGGAGTAAAATACATGCATTTTAAAAGAAACCGCAAGTCCCTAGCTCATCTGGTTGCAGAGATATGAGCTGTTCTCTGCTGGGCTTGCCTCCGCGCAACGAGCGCGGAACCGAAATCCGTCACGTGGACTATTGAATGGAAAACGGCAGTAATCTTGTGGAATGTCCCATTACTTAAACATCCGTACAGCCTGAGCTTGAGGCTGCATGCACTCCTGGCTTGGATCCAAACTACTAGATCAGGATGGGCCCTCACGTTTCGAATGAGGCGCACGACATTGCATTGGAGGGTCAAACGGCCGTAATGCCTCGAGCATTACAGCTCTTGGACATCTTGACTGTTTTGTTCGATGGCTGTCCCAACGCAACTCTCGCGTCGGCGGCGCGAACTTGCAAATTGTGGCGGATCTCGGCTCTGCAACGGTTGTGGCGAGTGCTTGATACTGCGTTGCCTCTCCTTCGGCTGCTAGGGAAGGTTGACTGGCGGAATTCCCGTTATTATGTGAGTGTTTCGTGGTACCATTGCCATGGGTGAATATGAACGCTATCTACTTTCATGTGTAGATAGATTTTGAGGCACTACCAAGGGTCCAATTTTATGCAGGATTTGTTCAATATATCACCGTCCATATTGGATGCGGGGGAATTCCTCCCGATGTAATCGACGAGTTTGCTTGCGCGACACTGCTTGGGCGTCCGCTTATTTTTCCGCATCTCATTTCTTTGGATTGCCTCCTCGATGGACCAGAGGCAATTCGGAGTGCCTACTTTTGGCTTGCTATACGCCCTCCGAAGATATCGATCTCTTTCCTTGATGCTACAAAAGCCGCCTATCCTTCAGTCATTCGATCGCTCTCTCGTCACAGCGTCTCCTTGACATCCCTCTGTCTGCACATCGACGGCAATTCAGAACTTAATGAAGCCGTCAACGAGTGCTTTGCGAACGCATTGAAGCCGCTGGCTAACCTTGCTTGCTTGACTGCAGACGGACACATTCTTTGTACCCCAACCGTCTGGACGTGCATCGCGCAATTACCCAACTTGAAAGAAGTCCGCTCACCATTATTCCAGGTGGGATACAGCCCCCATGCATTCCATCCCCCGGCCTGGCATGGTATTGGACCCCCCACATTAGATACTCCATTCCCATCTCTTCGCGCTATCACGATGGCAGCCTTGTCTCAGTTAGTAGTCACCGTCCTGGGGTATTATCCCTTAGATGGCGTACGTTCTCTCGAGCTGCTACTGATTGACTATAACTACGATCCACCAACAGAGCAGTCGCTAATCCAAATAGTCACAACGTGTAAATGCTTGCATCGATTACACCTCATCACCCCTCATCTCAGGCTCCCTTTACTGAAATTGCCTCTATCTCCCGATCTCACTCATTTGGTGGTCTGCACTGACGGCGTTGCGATGATTGACAGTGCAGACTTGGTATATATATGCTCTATGATGCCCAACCTTGAAGTTTTGGATTTAATCCCGACAATGGTCTTTAGAAGTTATCCTCCGGGCCTAACGCTGGAAGTCATACGATCGATCGCAGAAGTATGCCCTCGTCTTGAGCGCGCTTCGTTGTATATCGATACGGACATCTCGGGTATCCGATTCTCCTTCGATGATCCCCCTTTTCCTTCGAATCATCCACTTTCCACTCTATGCCTCACGTCCTGCCAGGTCCTGAATTGCAGCGAGGTGGCAATGTATTTGTGCACTTTGTTTCAGGACGCTCAACGTACACCGACGATCAAGGCACCAGAAGTTAGTTTCCGTCAACAGTTCGGATGGTGGGATGGGCCAGATCTCGGTTCCCCTGAGAAGGAATGGAAGGGTGTTGGGGAAATTATGGATATGCTTAGAAGACAAGTTATCCCTTCGTTCCGGAGTCGATTGGCACAGAAGGATGCAGAATTGAAGGCGTTACGGGAGAAACTCCGATTTCATACCGTCGGGGAGCGCCTATTGCAATAAAGGAAGTTCCTGGCGTCTGAATCCTTTATCGGTGGCTACAATGATATATGGAACTGTGCTGGTGTCTTGGGGTGGGATGCATCTTTTAGGTTCTTCTTGCACTTGCTCGAAGCACACTGACGCGCAATGCCATAAGCCGAGGGATTCAGGGCTCGAATCCTGTTCACTATAGTGTTCACCTTGCTTCACCCAACCTGCGCAGAACCCGCAGTGCCCACTACAACATGGTGAACATCATTGGATTGATCATGAAGGAAAGCAAACACAGAGACAAAACAAAACGGACAGTTAGGAAAGGGGAGTGTATGGGGGAGACATTTGGATGTATCTCAAATTTCAACCAACTGAATAGAAGCAATGATTCGGAAGGAGGGGGGGAATTGCGCTTCAGTTTGGGTTGTACAGTTGCGGACAGGCAAAGTCTTGATATTTTCTGCCGTGAGAACCGCTGCACCGACAAGTTTCATTTTGTGAGAGCAGGATTAGCGCTAAGCAGAAATACATGATCTCTCAGTAAAGCAGTAGTCGCGCAATGAAAGTAGACCTCACCTCAGTTCACGAGAGTAGAACTTGTTGGAAGATACCATCAGGGATGGAGTTGTTAGAAACCACCTCTGCCTAATGCGGGCATTTAGTGTAATGGTAACACACTCTAGGTACCTGTAAGGCCTGAGAAGGCTGCACACGCTTTCCCATTTCATTCCATTTATATCTTGTTGAGATCGCGCGCAAAAGCGCGCTTGTTTACTATTTACCAAGCCACATGTATTTTCCGACTCCGGCATACTGTACTCACACGACCAACTACCGGCTTAGTCAGCTATGTGACTTGTCACGTGATATAAACCGGCAACCGGCAACCTGTTGTGATGCGTGACACCCAACCGGCAGGGTGCTGCGGAGTTGTCTGAATTATATTACTTATATTAAATTGTTAACAGAAGGCACCTTGAATTTTAAATTTTAAATTTTGAAAACACTGGCCCCAAAAAATTTCTGAGCATCTGTGCATCATCTCATGAATGGTTTTACCCTTGCACACCGCATTGCTTTGTGTACAGATGAGATATAGCAACATCCCAGGTGATTTTTATTGGATCCTATTTTCCAGACAGGAACTTGTCTGTCACTGAATTTATCCAGTTTACACTTCCAGTCCTCCAAACAAATTTACAAGGTTCACATACTCCCTGTGCCTATTTGTGAGCAGGAACTTGGCTGTGGAATGCAAGCAAGGCACACAAGAAACTTGGAAGACCAAATGAAAATTTTCCGTTTTAATGTAAATACATTCCAGAAATGGAAAATTTGAATTGCCTTGCACAGCCACCTTGCCTCAGCAAAACTGGCATGACACCCAAACACCCAACTGCCAACCAGCTGTGACATGTGACAGACCCTGAATTTCGACCGGACTGGGAGGTCTCTGTGATGTGTGACTGGTGTGAGTACAGTACACTGTACATATGTATATAAAGTAGCATGGAGGGTAGACTGGCTCTTCAGCCTAACTACTCCCCCATTGATTATACAGTACATATCTCAATGGACTGGGAACTAGGCAACCTACACGATTGAGCTACACGCTCCGGGTATATACTACCCATGAATAGCATCAGCAAAAGTCTGTTATGCTCCAGAGCATCAAGAGTGGCTGGAGCATGTGGGAGACAAAACAGCAGATTGGGCACTCCTGGAGCCAATAGTGTTCCCCCAGGAGGGGGTTCAGGAGCAGCTGGGAGTGGTGAGGAGTATGCAATGTGCCAGGAGCAGTGGGAGGAAAATTTTGGTCTCTAAAAAGTTGAAAAAAAAAATTTAGGGAAAAAATCAAAAAAAAATGAGGAACTATAGTGCCTTTAAAGTGCTTTCAGGACATATAATTATTTGCAAAATTGAGGAAGAAATGATGGAGAAAAATGGAAAATACTTTTGGAGACCTGAGAAATAATGAGAACTGAATTGATGGGAAAGTCTGAAAATTGAATAGGAAAGTGAGGGGAAGCCTTGTAGCATTGTTATTTTCTGCTGTTCTGATTGTTCTTGGTCTCACTCCCAGCTGCTCCTGGACCCTCCCAGGAGCTTTCAGGAGCTTCCAGGATGTCAGGGCCCGGCCCTCATTCCGCAACGGCCCAGGGGGATCCTCCTAGTCGCTGGGGTATCTAGTCCCAGTCCGAGATCTTCAAACTCACTGAGGGGGCTAGCCCCAGCCTTCACAGGAAATGAGTTGCTGCACATTTAGGGAGAAGGTAGTTACACTTGAGAAGAAGGGTAACCTTCTCAACCTCCTGTGAAGCCGCTACAAATGGGAGTCGGGAACTATACAGTTTTCGGCTCTTTGCCGACTTTCCATAATTGGCACCCCCCTGTGGGAAGATTCTGGGCGAGCTGCTCACCCAGAAAGTTCCCACAGTCATGGCTGTGATGGTTTCTGGGCAAGTAACTCGCCCAGAACGTTCTCACAGGTCTGCATGCATGCGGGATTGTGGAACAGTGAAGGGAAAAATAGGAGAAAATGGGGGAAGGGTACCTGAGGGTGTGTGGGGTCAGGGGCTGTGCCCTGACACAGGAGTATTGAGGAGCAGTGTCAGAACCGTGTGAAGCTTCACCGATGATAGCCGTCAGCAACCAAACATTGGCCGCTAATGATGCAGGCATCCTACTCACAACCAAGCTGTAGCGAGGGTCAACCTCACCAATCTCAAGGCCGAGGCTACTTAGGTGAGTGGGCTGGGATTTTGGCTTCAACAACTCAAGGAGGAGCATTGCGCCTTGTTCTCAACATGGTCCTGATACTTCAGATGGTGGAGGTCTTATGGGGGACAGAGGTAAGCTAGGGGGTGAATTCTAGTTGATTTTGAACTACTGTACAAGCAATAGTTACAAGCTGTATATAAGCACTAGAGAACTGAATAGAAAGTAAGTTGCCAGATCTTGTGGAGATTGTGGGCAGAGAAAAGAAAGAGGAAAACACACAAGCAGCATGTGGTTAGGACAGCAAAGGTCAAATGTGACCTTCACCACAAGATAACAAGGTGCAGCAAAACATGGAACAAAAGGTTGCAGTGCTCTGCACCGCTAGGTCGTTCAACAACAATTAGGGGAGGAGTCATAGAGATGTGGCAGGAAGTGGTTAGACAGCGACAGGCAGTGAGCAGAGTGTGCGGGGAGTGTTCAGGCATAGGGAAAGGTTGGGGAGGAGGTCGTCTGACTCTGGGAATGCCGGGTCATGACAAGCAGCTGGGAATGTGACCAAGAAGAATCGGGAAAAATCAGAACAGCAGAAAATAACAATGCTACAAGAGTTCCCCTCACTTTCCTATTCAATTTTCAGACTTTCCCATCAATTCAGTTCTCATTATTTCTCGGGTCTCCGAAAGTATTTTCCATTTTTCTCCATCATTTCTTCCTCAATTTTGCAAATAATTGTATATCCTGAAAGCACTTCAAAGGCACTACAGTTCCTGAATTTTTTTGATTTTTTCCCTGATTATTTTTTAGAAGTCCCTATTTTTCAAATTTTCCTCATTTCCCTCTACAGTCATTCACGGGCCAATGGTTCACATTTTGTAATTTTGAGACTATGACATTGGATCAAAACCAAATACAAAAATTTTACGACGGATAGTAGCCAGGCTGGGTATGTACATATTACCGAGAAATATAAAGAAATGGATGAAAAATGAACGAGAATAAAAGCAGACAAAGAAATGGTGCTTTCCCGGCTCAATGGTTCAGTGTGACATGGTGTGACAATTAGTTCACACGCCGAACCGATAATTCAGTAATATGGCATGAAGCAAGGGTTTGCAGAATATTTGCTCTACTACTTGAGCTGCTTTTTGCTTGTGAATTCTAAGGGAGTGATTACTGATACTGGTGAAAGCAGCAGGCACAGAAAGGAATAAATTTGAGATACTGAATTTGGAAACTCGGATGTAAGTATACCTCAGTCTGACAAGTGCTCGTTCACCACAACAAACAAACATGGGCACATGCGCCAGTGGCCTTATGTTCCCTGGTAACACACCAAGCTGTAGGACACACTGCGGTGTCATAGCCATGTTCCTGGAGAGTGCAAGATGCATAACTTTTGTGTGCACCATTAACTCGGTGAACAACTGCTATTACTCCTTCATTTTATGTCCGATTTGGTCAAATTTTTGCGTAGTCGTAGCCATAGTTATAACATACAAGTGTGCAAAAATTAAAAAAATCCCGGGGTGAAATAAGGATGTTACATGCAAATGAACCATTGAGGGGTGTGAACCATTGGCACGTGAATGACTGTATATTCCCCCCTCATTTCCCCCATTTCCCCCTCCATATTCTGCAAGCCTGAAAGTGATTAAGTTGCCAGATTAATCATATATCAGGCCATAAATTTTGATTGTGTATTGGTGAGTCTCAGTGTCCTTGATATATAGCATAGTGTTTGATCCAAATGTTAAGCAGTGTCTTGTTGTGTTAGTCTTGTGGTAGGAGGTATTCATGGGGAATCTTCCCTCTTTTTTCCTTTTCATTTTCAAATGCTCCAGGAGCTCCCAGAAGCTTCTCACCCCTATACACTTTGAAGCATTTAAATTGTATTTACTGGATATGTCTGTGCACAAAGCAATGCTCCATGCCCTCCTGGGAGTGCCCTGGAGTACCTGGCCAACTCTGGAGGAAATGAGCTGTTCCTGGACTGGCCAATCTCCTCCTGATTCTCCCAGTGCTCTCCATACTCCAGAGCACTCAGGAGCATAACAATTTTTTGCTGATGTACACACCTTACACTTTTTTGTGCTCATTGGGCTGTATTTCAACCCTCTGCACTTATTTGATCGGTGCTGCCATGCACACCAATCACCTCTTTACCTGCCTTCTGTGACATGGAATCCAGAGGGGTGGCAGGTCTGCCCTCAGCTTTGCAGAGGGCCAAATCTGCATGTTTTTACATGCATGCTTCCATGATGGGTCTTGGCACCGATGATGCCGGTGCCAATCTCCTTGATCCAGCA